CCAGATGCAACCACAGACGGTGCCTTTGAGGAGAATGGCATTTTAACAATGACTTTAAACGCTTTTCTCACAAAGTCTCCATCAGAAATCTTGAGTCAGAACTAAAAAAGAAGCCGAATGGATGAGATTCTCTGGACCTTCAGACAATCAGAAGCTCTTTACAGGCATGTTTGGAGTGATGGTTTTCCAACATGCTATACTACACAAGCATTTAATCCTAAATGAACATTTTTGTCAGCAAAAGTTTTTTTTTTTTCTTTTTTTTTAAGCAGGCCTTTTTTTTTCAGGCCTCTGTATAAATCCTAGCTCTAATTCTGTTATTGAATAGATTGGCGTTTTGCCGAAATGCTGGCAGCTGTGCTGTTTCAACCAACCTTTAACTTAAAGATTGTATATTGTGTTGTAATTTAGCCGTTTTTTTAATGTTTCTCCTGACATACTGACTGTATATTTTTACAGCAAAGCAAGAAAGCTACATCTGTCTGTTTTTTTTTAAAACATTGCATAATTTAAAGATTACACTTGTACAGTATTTCTTAAATGTTTTTAGTTTAACGATAGGCATTACTTGCAAAAGCCTGATAGCTATAGTGTTTTATTTGAATGTGTGTAAACAGGTATGAGATTCCGTTTTTGTATCTGGGAAAGTAGCTTTTCTATTTTCCTACTGTTTTTTTCTTTATATAAATGTTTATTAAACTTTCACAGAGTCTTATTTTCTCAAGCAGATTTCACTTGAAGCTTATAGCTTTGCACAGAATCTGTTTTTTTACACCCAATGATTGCATACCTTAAACTTGAATGGAACCATACAGAAAGCCCCTGCAGGGATTTCTGCACAGTCTGGATGCTTTTCAGCTCTGGATACGTCTCTGAAGAAAAATGGAATAAAACCTGTATTTCTAGAATACGCTTTTACAAATCTGTTTTTTTTTCTTATAAATTTCCCCCACCCATTACACTTGACCTGCATGCTGCCTCGCAGAAATAATTCAAACCCCTTGAAAGATTTTCACATTTCATCTCATTACAACCAGAGTGTCTGTTATGCAATGGAACATCAGAAAGGACAGAATTGGAAAATACTCAATACTTTTTTTTTTTTTTTTCAACAAAATCTGTATTTTATTACCTAAATTTTACTTTGATAAACCTAAATAAAATCTTCCATTGCCATTGCATTAGTAAGTAACCCATATGTGTCTAACAACATCCAGTTTTGCTGTTTTAGGAGAGGTTTGTCAGAGAACACAGTACGGTGAAAGGGCATTAATGGGTCAGGAATTATGTTTTTGAGTTTTAAACAGATATCAAAGCACTTTTTTTTAAAAAGTGATGAGAAAACGTAAGTTTAGATAAAAACCTCTCAGGACGTTTTATGCCTAAAGAGACGAACCAATGACTGTTAACTAGAGAAGAAGACAAATAAGCCCTTGGTAGCCAGAGGAAAAAAAGGACCTTTGTTTTGAGGAACACAAAGAGGTTTGTTTGCAGTTTTTGCAAAAGTTCAAAAGTGAAGGACTAAACCTGTGAGCCGACTTCTGCACTGAATATAAAAGTATACAGCTTTGTTCACTTTGGAAAAGAGAGAAGTTTAGAATAGAAAATCCCTTTATTGTCTCTTATAGTTTGGACGACAATCTGATAGATATACCTTTACAGACCTGATGCAGTTATATTGCACATGAGTATGAAGGGGGTGATGATATAATTTAATTAATGAAATCAAAATTAAGTTTTGTTTTGCTTCTTTCTGCGTTTGCTTTCATCACAAAGCAAGAAAACACTAATTTTCACAGCAGTATTAATAAATAAATGAAGGATTTGGTCTCTAAGAGGAAACCAGGACTTTTCCTGTAACATTTAGAACAAGATGAAGTCTGAGATCAAATAAAGTCCTCTCCTCTTAGTCTGTATCTGATTATGAAATATACTCACTACACTTTCAGTCAACATTTTAGCAACAGTTTGAAGGATCTAGAGAGAAAAGTTTCAATCACTGCAAACTATTGAGCCTTTTTATCCAGCACCACCTTGTGTAGATAGGAAAACCTGCACAAGCAAACACCAAAAAGCCAATATAGCTCATATTCACCATTTATCTGATATTTAAAATATAGGAATAAGTCTGAATATTACCAGTGATATGTGAAAACTGGGGGGATAATTGATTTTATTTGCTGCCCTTGGTGCAAAAGCTAGCTCTACTTTCAGAGGTATAAACCTGGAAGTGACTATAGGTTCCTTAAAGCGTTTATATTCAGATTATCCTGCTAAAATAAGCAAGAGTCTGATTAAAGTGGTTCTTTTCTGACAAAGACGGCGCTCAGCCATCGAACATGTCGCCCCAGACTGTTCCTCCAACGATCTGACGGAGGAACTTCCTGGATCCGTTCAGACAGAACAGATGTGCCGTTCATGACTGAACCGACTTGATCGACCGGTTCATGTAAAAGACCGAGGGTGTGTTCGATTTCAAAGGCTGCACCCTCCAAGGACCCAGGGTGTGTTTGAATTCATGCGATGCGTCCTCCGAAGGCCAGATTCGTAGGCCTATGACGTCAAGTGTGAGTTAAATAACATGCTG